TGGATTAGTAATGATTGAAAGCCAACGTTTGGATACGGTTTTGAAACAGAGAAGGGATCTTATAGGTACGCGTAAAAGAATTTCAATCAACAGATCATCTATAGAATCGACTAATCGAGCTGATGATGGCTGCTCTAAATCTGAAAATTTTGGGATCTTAAGTTTAATATCTTGCATTTTTAGTAGTAAGTTTTTCTTTGTGTTGTGCAAGAATTGCTGGTGATAGAATGCATATTTAATATGTCAACATATAGGTAAAGATTGCTTAGGAAGTTTCGCTATTTGATTAAGTCGACAAGGTCAATGATGTGAACAGATGAACAACTTTTTGTTTTCTTAAACACTTTTCTTGTTTAATTATCATAATGTACAAAATGTGATTTATACAAATTTGTTAACTTCTGAATGTGTATGATAAAGTGGGAAAAAAAAGGAATAAGGAAAACTTACACGGGTGGGGCGTGTTGAAAACATAAAAAATTGTTATACAGGATAGGGCAGGGGGGGTTGAATATGCTATAATGCATATTACAAAGTCTACTTCCTACTCATTGCTTCGTAAACTAACGAAATATTTTGGAGATAATGTCTTAGATGGTCACTCAATTAAGATTCGTGGACAATGATAGTATCTATATCGAAAATATTTTCAAACAATGAAACATGAGTTTTGGAAAATGTTTTCTTATCACTTTAAAGTTATGTTGAAAAGAATAAATTGCTTCAATTGTATCAACAATGACTCCGTGGCCCAATGGATAAGGCGCTGGTCTACGAAACCAGAGATTCTGGGTTCGATCCCCAGCGGAGTCGCATATTTTTTTTTGTTTATGCCGCTTCTCTATATTCGCCAGCCATTATCAACTACCATTACCTATAATCGTTAGTCACCATTTACAATAATCACCATCGTACCTACCGTCAATTATCATTATATATCGAATATTGCCAATCAACATCATAAACTATCCTTATCATCCATTATAATTATGACCTATCAACCATCATCACTACGTACTAGCTACATCCCACAACACCACTAGCCAACATCATCCTCAATCGACAGTACCCTCATCAACCACCGCTATCCATTATCATCCCCAAACGCCATACAACTTTATAAAAATATTTTATTGATATATTAAATTATAATTTAATAACTTCTAAATAAAAACAAATTTTATACATTCATATATTAAGAAAACACACATATAAATAGTCTTTCCTCTTATATCGGATTCAAAAAATACATATTACAAGAATGAGTAAGATTGAAATCACAGATCATAAAGAGAAAAATATGGAAAGTCTAAAAATTCCAGAATTGGTTCCTTCTGCAGCTGAGGATTCTCAACAACTAAGGAAAGCTTTTGTAGGTCTCTCTCTTTTACCTTCATCATATATATTCAGATCTATATTCATAATTTTTTTTTGATTAATTCACTATCAAATTAGTTATGAAATTCGTCGTTAATCTACCTAAATAGGTTGTAGCTAACATGATTTATTTGTTATAATCATGTTAAATAAGATTGTTGTTGTTTAACGAACAGAAGTTGTTTGTCGCTAATTCCTGTATATATTTTTGTTTTGGTAGTGAATTGTTTTATAATGGTTATTCTAATTATGCAAATTATATTATGCATGAAGAAGCATGCATCCATTTTACACGTTTATGAATAATTTGTGTTTGTTTAATTAATCACTAATTTAGTTATGATTTGATTTTCTATCCAATTAGTAGTTGTATGACCACAGAGACGGATCTAGGATTTGAACTTAATGAATTTGGGATTCTAGATGAACGACGACCTCAAATGCTTATACTTAATACATATTTGATTGATTTATTAAACACAAATACAAAGTTTGGATCAAAGTTCTAGAATTATTACGAATGAACTTTTGAAATTATGAGTTGCAAGATTTCATATTTGTTGAAGATGTAGTAATTTTGTGCGCACACACATATATGTGTGCGCGTGTTTTGACAAAAATATTGGGTTCAGATGAACTCATTGAGTCCATGGCGCGACATTTGCCTAGTCTGAGTGTGTGCTATGTTGATGAAACATTTGCAGGATGGGGAACGGATGAAGCGTGTATTATTAAGATCTTGGGTCATCGAAATGCAGCACAACGAAAGCTAATCAGAGAAACTTATGAAGCAACTTATGAAAAGGATCTTCTCCAAGACTTGGATGGAGAAATATCAGGTGACTTTCAGGTTCGTTTCAATTCTTCCTTATAAACTAAAACTAATTATACTCGTCCAAAGGGTGGTCAATTGAATCCCTTTCGTCAGAAAACTATACTCGTCCAGTCCAATTTATGTGAATAGTTTGAATGTAAACAGAGTTTTAGAAAAAAATTTGAAGACTTTTAAAACTTGTAACGTTAAACATACTATAAGATTTGTGTGGTTATAAAAGCTTCTCATTAAGGGTAAAATTGGAAGTGTAAAGTTAGTTGTTTCCAAATTTAGTTCTTTCTAGAACGGACTAAAATAGAAAGCATGTCACATAGATTGGAACAGAGGGAGTAGTATTATGTATAGGTGAAAGTCTTTTTTATGTGTACATATTGGGGTTCGACTTCTTTTAGCATTTTTTGAATCCACTCATCTCCAATCCTGCATCGATATGTTTGTAATGCAATCAAAATGGTGTTACAGCGTGTAGTGCATTTGTGGACTATGGCTCCAGCTGAACGCGATGCATGCTTGGCTAACGAGGCTATCAAACATCTGCCTGGTAGCAACTGCATTATCATGGAAATTGCTTGTGCCAGGTCTTCTGTTGATCTCTTTAAGGTGAGGCAGAACTACCAAGCTCGTTACAAGAAATCGCTTGAAGAAGATGTTGCTGATCACTCAACAGGGGATTTTCGTAAGGTACTTTCACATGTTGTGTCTTTTTCATCCATTTCGTAAACTAATACCCAAACAGCTTTTGGTTTCTCTTGTTACTGCATTAAGATATGAGGGAGAAGAGGTGAACATGGAATTGGCAAGTGATGAAGCAAAGATACTACATGAGAAGATCTCTGATAAGGCTTATAGTGATGAGGAGTTCATCAGAATTCTTTCGATTCGGAGTAAAACACAGCTCAATGCAACATTTAATCAGTACAATGATAAATTTGGCAATGCCATCAACAAGGTAGAATTCAAAACACCACTCAACATTTAAATTTTCTTACTTATAGTCTTGTTAGTGTTTTTTTTGTGGAAGGGAGCCTTGGAGCAACGGTAAAGTTTTCTCTGTGTGACCTCCGGGTCACTAGTTCTAGCCGTAGAATCATTGCTTCAAGGTAGGCTGCCTACATCACATCTCCTTAGGGTGCAGGTCTTTCTCCGGACCCTGCTTGAACAAGAGATGCTTTGTGCACGGGCTGCCCCTTCTTTTAAGACTTGTAATGGTCTTTTTGCAATTCCTAGTTTGAAGTTCTATACAAGATTCATATCTGCATTTTAGGTAGAACCCCTCTACAACTACCCATTTTTTAATAAAAAAGGGGAACCTTGGCTTAACTGGTGACCACGTGGCCACGGGTTTGAGCTATGGAAATAACCTCTTGCAGAAATGCAGGGTAAAGTTACGCACCATAGACCCTGGCAGTCTGGTCCTTCTGCAAACCCTGTGTATAGCGGGAGCTTAGTGCACCAGACTGCCCTTTTATCGGATATCAGTATTATGAACTTTTTTTGATCAAGTCATTGGGCTTATGCAGGATTTGAGAGCCAATCCTAAGGATCAATACTTGACCTTACTCAGATCAGCAATAAAGTGTTTGATGGAACCCGAGAAGTACTTTGAGAAAGTTCTTCGATTAGCAATGAAGGGGTTTGGCACAGACGAAGAGTCTCTTACTAGAGTTGTTGCCACTCGAGCTGAAGTCGATATGGAGCTCATCAAAGAGAAGTACTACAAGAGGAACAGTGTGACTCTGGAGAGTGCAATTTCTGATGACACTTCAGGAGACTATGAAAAAATGCTTTTAGCCTTAATTGGCCATGGAAATCTTTGAATGATACAAGTTTTTGTAGGATATGAGAAGTGTTCCTTAAATTCTGCAGTTTTTGAGTTTTAGTTCAAGAATGTGTGGCATATGTCCCATAAGAGTTAGCTTCTTGTTTTCACATAGAACTAAACACAATACTCCAAACCATTTTACTTGTCACATTTTTAGTTTAACACGTCCCTTAAGAAACTATGTCTTTTTGGCTTTCATATTCTTATTTATTACTCACTCTGTCCACTTTTATTTGTCATGTTGCGCTTTTTGAAAGTCAATTTGACTAATTTTTAAAGTTAAATTAGATTACGTTAATTCGATTTTTTTTTTAAAAATTTAGATATTCAAAAACTATACGAAAAGTACTATAAGTTGCAATTTTTTGCATATCAATATGATGAAAATATACATCGTAACATGTTGGTCAAAGTTCTTATTGTTTGACTCTAAAAAAGGAAACCATGACAATTAATTGTGAACGGAGGGAGTATCTATAATATTTAAAACGTTAATATCTTGTACTCTTCACTTAGGTTTTCTGTGCTAATTAGTCAATGTTTATTACTTCCAAGAATAATTATTACCAAGGGCAAAATAGGAAAAATGTACTCAGTTATATCTCGAACTATCTATTTTCAGTAAGTAAAGTTGTCTAAAGGGAGTAACAACAATGCCTCAATTCTTGTATACATACATCATTTTTTTTTTCTGAAGTTATCTGAAGTTAATGAGTGCACGTGCAACCCATCCTTCCACATGGGTCCACCTCTGATAATACTAGTCAAGCAACTATAATGTGTACTATCCAGAAAAGTAGTACTCCAGTAGGATAATAGTCCTGTATTTTGAATCAAATGAGGGTGTAAAAATATTGTTTATAAGATACTTTAAAATTTACAATCCTCATTCCTAAACCACATTGAGTATGAGAAGGCCCTCACTAGACAGAAGCAGCTGAAGTTTTTGCATTTACAGGTTTAACATACGTATCGCGCAGTATGATGTGATTGTTTACTTAAAATAATCTGATGCTGCTCTCTCCGCCTGGTGGTTTACGTACGCCACCATAGCAAACTCTGGATTCAGCTTTACCATCGGAGAATATACCGCTACCACTCATTTCTCTCAGCTTAGACCTGCTCAGTGACTTGTCTGAAGATCCAGGAGGAGTGACAGTGTCTCCCTTGAAAATGCCATTGCCGTTCAACTCTGCAACTTTCTGGTTATGTATTTTCTTTACTGGCTCCACAACAGGCTCACCGCCAAACAAGATACTACTTTGACCACCAGAAGGCTGCACAATGCACAAGAGAAATGCGATCCATAGTAGTTACACGGAAAATAAGTAGAGTCAAATGCCAACTCTAAACATTAAATCCACAACACAAGATAGCATTTGAGACATTAAGAGTCAAAATCAATCTTAAGAACCAGTAGTATTTTTCTAAAAATAAATAAATTAATCATTTTGACAGAATTTTTCGAGTTCCACATTAATTAGAAGGTGTCTTACTGTATTGCAACTCTTTTTCCTCCGGAACACCAAGTTATTTGACAGATTGCCTCCAGCTTAAAAATCATCTTACTGGATCACTACCTATATCTTTGACATAATACATAGACACCTTAACTTGGCCTCAACTGACAACTAAATACTTCAACTTTGAGAATGAACATCTAGTAGACACCTCAACTTGTCCCCACTATGTCTCGTGGACAGCCGATGCTGATGCAGCCCATATATTTCGGAGGTGTGTCTAGATGATCATTTTTGTAAATTGGAGTGTTCAAGTGACACAACAGAGATGTGCTGCATCCTCAAAGTTAATGTATTTAGCTGTCAGTTACCGTGTCTATATATGTATTACGCCTTTTTCTTTTGTCAACTTTATCTACCTGAAGCATTTTATTACGGTAAAACCAAAAAAGAGTTTCCTTACATCTAATATCATTTTCACGAGATTATCACATTGAATACTCAACTCTATTTGAGAAAGCAGATAGTGGGAAGAGATTGAGAAGATGAGTTGGGATGGGAAAGTGGTGCAGTCAAGGCTGGAGTGAGAAATTTGAAACAGAAACAAGGATCAGTAGGCAACTTACATTAGAAACCTTGACAGATGTGCGCACAACTCGTGGAGCAGGTTCACCCATGTCTTTGCTTTCTTCGGGATGCAATGACCGTGCAACAGTTGATGATCTTGGAGGAACTTCTATGGGAGGTCCAAAGATGTTACTTCCACTAAGTTCCTTGCTCTTTGCTTCCGACAACTGCTTCTTCACCTTGCTATGTATCTTGCTTTCTTGGTTTCCACTCAGTTCATGTTGCTTTTCCACTTCTGTCAGAGTGACAGGCATTTCCTCGGAGATATTTTCTACAGTACTTAATGAAAGCCTATCTATCTTGCTTTCTTGGTCTCCACTCAGCTCGTCCTGCTTTTCTACTTCTGTTAGAGTGATAGGCGTCTTCTGGGAGATCTTTTCTTCAGTACCAAAAGAAATCTGGCTTTTCCCATTTGCACCTTGCTACAATGGCATCGTAAAATTCGATCAAAGTGCTATTCACTGATTTCCTAATTATGTAGCCTACTCGTACTACAAGTCTGATCTGATGCGGTGATAAGTTTTCTTAAATAAGAGGAAACTGGTACCTGAACAATCCGCACAGATGTCCTGATGTTAGCATTACCATTAACAGGTCCAGATTCTGATGCAGCATCCTTACCACCAGCAGAAAATATATTGCTGCCATTCATCTCCTTCAGTTTATACCCTGAAGAAGGTCTCCTGAAGATAGCAAGTTTCAACAGGGATAAGTGCTAGAAATAAGAGTACATAAATTCAAAGCCAAAGTCAGTTACTTAATTTTTCATTTTCTTTCCAAACAATAGGAACTTCTTTGTCTACGAACATGAGTTGCAACAACACGGGAACATAATCCTGATGATTCTCTAGTATTTTTGGTTCCACTAGTCGCAAGTCGCGTGAGAAAACAATTACCAGTCAACTGTGGAAGTGCTTAGACTAGGCTTTCATTTAGCTTGGATGAAGGTTATCATTATAATGATATTATTACTATCTTTAAGCTAGTCATCAACCTACCGCAATCCTCCACCTTCATCATTATATCTACAAATATTTCCTCCAAGTCCAAAGACAAATCCATACAATAAAGAGCTAATTAACTTGATACGATCCTTATGGCTGTTATTTCTAACACCAGACATCCACAAAATAGCATCCTAATTACATCAATTACTACTATACGGAATTACTTCCATTTCCCAGCATGATCAACAATGCTCCTAATGAGAAGGTATCGTAATATACAAAATGGCTGATCAGTTAAGGAATCGAATGTTACAAAAACCTATCAATGGTGAGCAGCATCAAATCTACATTTTCAATAATGATAAAAAAAAAGGTCAAACTGATAACAAATACAACAAATGGTGGGACAGATCAAAAACACAAAAGCATTCGAACCAAATTAAAGATCATAGAGAGGAATGCACATCCTGATCAATGAAAAGGAAAAGCAACGGAGAATAACACCTCCTCTCTATCGTACATTTAAACCAAAATGGCGATCTACTTTACTAGGAAAAGAAACAGCAAATAACCAAAAAAAATAATTTAAAATCATCTTTACTGAATACTGGAATAAAATTGAAAAAAAATAAAAATAACTAAATGCACGCAATACTTCTATATGAAACATAATTATCATTAAAACAGGAGAAAATATGAGATTTCAGGCTATATAATACCTCTGGAGTTTGAAATGAACAATGAAGCATTGCACAATAGAACATATTAAGTTAACATGCAAAACAAGAAGAAAAAATATTTTTAAAAGAATCAAATAATGATGAAATATCAATCAATAAATAAATCTATTACGCTCTTCAATTCCAAATTGCTCTATAATACCTCTTTCTATTCATTCATTCTCAGGCTCATTTCGTTCAAATACCAAATATTAAACAGAAAAGCATAAAAAATGTCCTAAACTATTTGAAATTGAACAAACGATAATAGTTTGGTCTAAAAATGCTCATGTCGATAATAGTTTGGCTCAAAAAATGATCATAGGGGCATTTCTGGGCCAGCTTTCATGCACCTCAACTAATTTCACGGGATATTGTCACCTTCCACCCACCAGCAACGGGTACCAAATAACTCTGTTTGGTAAGAATTAATGAGGACATTTTTTTATCCGAACTATTAATATAGCAAACAATTTTTAATCAAACTATTACAGGAGATTATTTTTGTTCAATTTCTTATAATTTAACAACATTTTTACCCTTTCGAATTTTAAACAAAATAAAACAATTCAAAAAGCTTCTTCTTTTCGCTCACCTTTTATACAAGCTTTCAGCTTCCTCATCAGTAACATCTCCTGGAAACAGCACCTTACCGATTCCATTAGAAGGCTGCAACCACAAAAAGAACAAAAATGACAAAATTAACCCTCAACACCTCGCTCGCCGGCGAAACAACGGCAAATAGCTAAAAAAATACCTGACGAGAACGAGAAGCGTACGACGGCGGCGGAACCTCGGACGACCAATTCAGCAGATCCGCCGTGCATGTTCTCGAATTCCGTGCAGGTGTTAATTTCTCCATTGTTATTTTTTTTTTTACGGCCACCGAGTTTTAACAGAGCAACTCGGTGAGTCGGTTCGTTTGGAATTTTGAATGTATTATTTCAGATTTTATTTTTTCTGAATGTTTTATATTTTTTCAATGCTTATTTGTTGGTAACGTTTTTAAATTTGTTGTTGCTCAATTTTTTTTTTTGTGGGGCCCTTTGCATGGATGTAGAATTTTGACACGTGGATTGTGAATCCATGTAAAGTGGAAATTTATTTTTCTAAAAATGATAATAAATTAAAATAGAAAGAAATTTCTTATTACACATGTACTCAAATTTTTCGAGAAGAAAAATCTAAAATTGACTCTTCTATTTTAATAAATAACTATGATTTAAGATCTTATTTATTTGTAAGTAATGTAAGTTTAAATTTTAATTATTTAGATCTTAATTATTAAGTTGATTTAGTTTTATAGTCTTAATTTAAATTATTATGTGTGTTTATTATTGTAGTTTTATGATTACTTAAATAAATTTGAATAGTAATTTTGAAAAATATAGTTTGTCAGAAGTGTTATTTGAAGAAGTACCTTTTAAATAGTATCAATTTGTATTTAACTAATCAATTTGATTTTTAAAAAAAAAATTAAATCAGTAATTTATTAACAATATTTTGAAAGCTAATATTTTGGTTTCTTCCTCTTCTTCTTTTATTCTAAAGGACTTTTTTTTTTCCAGCCAGTGTCCAAAGTTTGTATTGGAACTCCGATTAAATTTGAGTCGCGTACTGCAAAGTCCATTTGGAGACGGCACTTCCAACATGATTTTTTCCATATCAGGACTTGAACTCGAGCCTCTAATTAAGGGTGAATTTGTTTCATCACTACACCACAACTCATGTTGATCACTTTTTTATTTAAGCCTTCGTCAAATGCCTAATATCTTAAAAGACCTAACAAGGATAAAATTACACAGTTTTGAGTAATACAAAAAAATTAATAACATTCATCTTTTAACTTCTAAAAATAAAAAGTATTTCTGTTTTTTATTCAAAATCTCGTGGTTTGACATTATAAATGAATTTAATTGTTTAACCTCTAATTATAGTGGTTTACTTGCTTGAATAGAACCAACAGGATCCGTGGCGCAATGGTAGCGCGTCTGACTCCAGATCAGAAGGTTGCGTGTTCGATTCACGTCGGGTTCAATTCCCCGATTCTATAATCGGATCCATTCTTTTTGTGTTTTCTCCATTTTTTTTCCAAATTATATACTCCAATCTTTTCAACAAGCATGGTTACTTTTTGAGTTTTTTTCTTTTAACAAAATATAAATTTCTCGGTTAAATTTTACTTTTTAAATAAAAATTGAAATTCCAACTCATATTTTCCAGAGAAGTTGGAGTTTGAAATCACAATCGTACATTACATGTTCAAACATTAATTTGAAATTACGACTTGTCCAAACACAAGTTTGATGTTTCACATTCAAAATAATTGGTTTTGACCTCAACAAAAATTTACGCTTTTGATTTCTTTATTTGTGAATATTCACAAAATTACTATAATTATTAACTATTCTACGACTTAATTACTCATCTGCTATGTTAAGTTTGACGTGTTACCACATATTTCCACTAATACACTATTAAATTGTGAGTTTCAATAAAAAATATACTCTGTTTAGCCTCCTCCTTCTGTTTTAGTGCTTTGAACAACAATGGCACCACATGTTGTGTTCCTTCCATAAAGCATGATGAAGCCATATAACTTGCATTGGTACAAATAGCTCGAATCTTCGCCTTCCACAGCCTCAGAGTCACTATCACTACCACTCCTTGTAATCCCCTGACCTTTCAGTCCTCGATTGATGAGGACTGTTTTGTGTCTGGATGCAGATACTGCATCCAGACACTTGAGTTTCCGTTAGGTAAGTTCACCTGAGCGAATTGGAAATCTTGTATCTACCACTACTATGGAAAATCCGAGCAAATGTTAAATTGATGGCAGAGATACTGCTGAATGCCACCGAGGAAGGGGGTTCCTCTCATTCACATCTCATCGCGTTGATTGAGGAAATCAAGCCTTGTGCTTTAAAAAACGCCGTCTCCATTTGAAATTCATGTTTCATTTTGTTACTTTCCCTTTATTTTCTCTTTTGATTTCAAAGGCAATGTCATTTCAATAATACAAACAACATATCAAGAAGTAAGTTTGTTACTAACTACATTATATTGCTGAAAGAATTCCGTGTTCATCGTTCTCAAGTAAGGGCTGTTGTTCTTCGGATGGAGAGTTCCCTGTTTCTTCAATCAGCTGCAACCGGACGTGATCCCTATCTTGTGGATATGTGCAATATAGGAAGGAATAGATGAAGCAACAGATGACCATTGGAATGCCTATTGCAGTGTACAATGCCTTGGCAAGTGATGCAGCATTTTGTCTATCTGTTTCAATTTCTTGTGAGCCTGTTGATCCCTCCGGGATTGGCTTATAACCAAAAACTTGTTGAGCTAAAATACCAACCACCAATGGAGCAAAAGATGATATTATGGTCTCAAAAGATCGATCCAGAGCATATATGCTTGTTCGAGCTCTCTCAGGAACTATCTCAGCAAATATTGGACTACAAACATGTCAAGGGTGAAATATTTTAGTGAATTCCTCAATTTAACTTCACAATATGTACAGCATGTATGATGTACTCCTTCCGTTTCAATTCGTTTGTCTTACTTTTCTTTCAGAAAGAATGTATCTTTCTCTTTTTGACAACTTTTTTATTTCAACTTTCCACGTGACATGCTTAAGACTACAAAATTAAAGAACATTTTAGTACCTTCTACGTATCTATAATTTAAGACCACAAGATTTCAAAAGTCTTCTTTACTTTCTTAAACTCTGTATCAAGTCAAAACCAGACAAACATATTAAAATGGAGGGAGCTAGTAATAGAACTAGAGATCATGAACGGGGAAAACGATCATGAAAAAAAATCTGTGAAATGTACTAACAAATGATATATGTGATGAGAAGAGACGTACTTGTTTGTTGCTGGACCACACCATGATATGATTGATCCCATGATGAACAAGACTAAACCGTGCAGCGTAGCTGTTTTAGGATCATTAGGCAATAGCAGCAGCAGAATTGCAGCTAAAGGAATTGCTGATCCAGTGCTAATCTGAGAGAGTATAACCCTACCAGAATTAGGCAAGCGCTTAGCCAATACATCCCCCATGAATCCTCCAAACAACGCGCCAAGCGACTGAGAAACTTGAAACAAAGTCCAGAGAAGTGCTGTTGTCTTGTGAGAGAATCCGATAAGCTCCAACCACATTGTGGCAAATGACAATGCTGACCAGGGGAACGTCCCGGAAACCCCTTGGGCGATAAGTATTTGAAATGAAGGAACTTTGATAACTGTTTTTGCTTCTTTTAGCAGTTCACTAACTTCTTCTTTAAATGGTTTTACTTGAAGCTGATCTTTTCCTTTGTCAGCCTTACTTCCAAGATATTGTGGATCGTTGGCAAAGAAATAGACTAGAAAACCAACAAGAACACTTATAATACCAACCAGGTGAAAGGAGATTCTCCATCCAGGGATTCCCATGAATGATGTTTCAGCAATCAGCACAGACATAGTCCCACCAACGATCGATCCCAAACTTGATGTTAGTTCTAACCATCCAAAAGCAGTACCGCGATTACTTTCATGAGTTGAATCAGCAACTAAAGATTGGATTGCTGGTGTGACTATTGCAAGTCCTATTCCATTCAATCCTCTCGAAATTGCTATCTGTTAAACAACATCTGTCAGATTGCTTAAATTCAAGTAGTATGATAAAAGTAAACACATGAAAAAGTCAAAATCTGCTGTCTATACATAAAAATATTTTTTACCATAAATAAACAGTATAATTTTCTGTCAAAGACCCTTACTAGCTCGGCCACTACAACCATAAGTGGACAAAATTAACCCTTATTTTGTACTAATAGACCCTCGACTCAAGACAAACATAAACACAACATATATATATGAAAACATAAGCAGTAACAACAACATGATATACGCGACATAAATTAAATAACCTGAGTGAAGGTGGAAGAGATGGCAACAAGGAAAGTTGCAGCAGACCAAAGAAAAGCACCAAGAGCAATGACATGAGCTCTGTTATGACGAGCAGAAAGATAGGCAGCTAATGGATAACAAAGACATTGAACTAATGATCTAAAAAGAGTAAGAGAACCAAGACCAGTTGGATCAGTATGCAAATCTTTGCCAATTTCTGTATAAACATTAGGTAACAAAGCTTCATCAGCTTTCTCCATTATACCAGCAATATTCACTAATACAAGAGTTAACTTATCTGATCTTAACTTCTTCATGGGAGCAATTTGGAGAATTCAAAAAAGTTAAATGCAATTTGGATACTCAACTTCTAAATGTAGCTAAAAAACTAAGTAAGAAAAGGCAAAGAATAAAGTGATATTGTGATGAGGAAAATATAGCATTATATCTTTAAATTTTATTTTTTTTGGTAATTTGTTTATGTATATCATATTTATTGAATCACCTACTTTCATTAATGATAATAGTGATAATATCTTTTTATTTGAATTTGGAGTATTCATAAAGTTAAGCTCTGTTTCTCTGCTTTAGAGCTAAACAAAAAATATTACACTAATAAACAAAGTGAAAATTCAGATAATCAATATTCGAGCATCGATAAATTTCTTCCTAGACTTCTTTTTGTCATTTGTTTGGGTATCTATGAGATAATATCTCAGATAGTCACCCACGAATGAATAATTAAAATGTCTCTAGTTGCAAATTTAGCGTTTATTATGTAATAAATAATTACTTACATGTGCTCACATGCTCTACATGGCTACTTGATTTATTATTAATGTAGATGTAGATGTAGTTGTTTTGGTTCAACATAAAATTATGATGCAGTTGCCATTATTAAAGCGAGCTTAATTATTTTATTGTTGGGCATTTATTCTATTCGTTGACTTTTTAAAAAAAAATGTCATTTGCCA